GACGACGACGACGACGACGACGACGACGACGAGGGCGCGGACGCGGACGAGGAAGAGGAGGAAGAGGAGCACGAGAAGGAGGGGGAGGAGGAGAGTTAGGAGGAGGAGGAGGAGGAGGAGGAGAAGGAGGAGGAGGAGGGGGGCGCCATCGACAGGGAAGGCGAAGGCCACGAGGTCCGCCGGCTCGACGCCCGCGTCGCCCGCGCCCGCCCCCTCATTCATATCCGCAACTGCAGGGTGCTACGCGTTTGCCGGGTCTCCAGTCCCCCCCCCCCAACCTTGCCCCCAGCGCCCACCCCGCTTGCCCCCAGACTCTCGCCCCCCCCCCCAAGCCCTCCTCAAGCCTCCCCAAACCGTTTGCTCCTTTCGACCCCCCCAAAACCCTCCCTCTAAAGGCCTGGGCAGCCGACGTCGCGATCGCTCGAGGTTTCGACGTTTCACCCCCGCTTCTGGCGTTTTCTGTTCTTTCGAGACCTCGACGTTTCCCCCCCCCGACGCAATGGACGCAAGGCATTCCCTTTGGAGGCCGCTTCTAGCGCCTGCGGTCCCGATCCAAACTGCCCTGGCCCGGAGGACCCGCGAAAGAAAAAAAAAACTCTGAGGCTTCCGCCCCTCAGCCAAGATGTCTCGGGGGAGGAGGAGGAGGCGGAGGAGGAGGAGGAGGAGGAGGAGGAGGAGGAGGAGGAGGAGGAGGAGGAGGGGGGGGAGGAGGGGGAGAAGTAGGGGGAGGAGGAGGAGGAGGAAGAGGAAGAGGGGGAGGAGGCGGAAGAAGAGGAAGAGGAGGAAGAGGAGGAGAGGGAACATCGCTGGCCCACAAGGCACCGCTTATCGCGGCAGTTTCTCGCGACCAAATTCCGCTTGAACGAGCATCGAGCATCGAACTTCGAACTTCTCGACCTTCGAGCTTCGACCTTCGGCCCGGCGCGAGGCGTCAATATCCCCCCCCCCCCCCTCCCCCCCATCCTCCTCCCTCCCCCCCCTCCTCCTCCCCCCCTCCCCCCCACCTTCCTTCCCCCCTCCCCCCACCCTCCATCCTCTCTCCCCCCCCCATTCCACCTCCCTCCCCCCTCTCCCCCCCTCCCTTCCCCGCCATCCCCCCCCCCCGCCGCCTTCCGCCATCCCTCCTTTACCCCGTCCTCCTCCCCTTCCTGGAGCTCCCCTCCTCACCCCCCCCGAAGTCCGATCCCGGCAAATAGGTAACTCTTCAAGCTGATAGTGGACACGACCACCTAGGAGAGAACGACTCCTGATTGGACCAGCCCCCGATACGGAACCAAGTTCTCCAACAAGCTCCAGCGGCAGTTCCAACGACCTCGAGCCCTGACACGAATGCGCACGACGTGCAACGCGTTACGACAAAGAGCAAGTGGAAGTCATGGGGCACGAAGACACGTGGGACTAGGCACGACAAAGTGTCACCAAAGATAAACACACATTGAGCAACGCTGTGCTCCAGTGGACCTGACCACGCAGCCATGGCTGGCACAGAGGCCCATGGGAAAACGCAAGCGGAGGTGGGCCGATGACCTTGCAGCGATGGTGCGAAGACACCGTGTAATTTGAAGTAATTGGAGACAATCGCAAGCATCTGAATGAGCGGCGCCCTGGACCCTCCTGCCAGCCCCGCGCGCGGCCGCCCCTTTCGGGCGAACTAGGATTTGCCGAATGTCGCCTTTCCTTGCCTCTTCCCTACCAAGACATCCGAAGTCATGAGAAAATCATGACGACGACCTCCGGAGGTCGGTCTGGAGACCTCCCCCGGGACAGGTTGTTCATCCAGAGTCGTTATTTGACGCTCCTCCTTCTCCTCCACCTCCTCCTCCTCTTCCTCCTCATCCTATGTTTCTTCTTATCGTTATCCCTATGTGTATGAGTCTCATGTTTCTTAATACGATCGCAATGCTTCTTACCATTCTCATTCGTATTATCAATATTAATGATGAGGATTGTATTTTTCTGATTCGTAGTATTCGGAATCGTCTTAGTATGTTTCGTCTTCTTATTATTGCGATTCTTCTTCTGAGTAATAGCATGAATAGTCGTATCATTATTCGTCGCATGTGACTTACTGTTGGTATTAGTCGCATTCGTTGTCTTGTTAGTATTCGTCTTGCTCTTAGTCGTCCTCATATATTATTGCTCTCCGCCCTCGTATCATTATTATTTTACGTAGTATTCGCATTACTATGCTGATTATTCATATTAGTGTCCTTTCTTGGATTATTATTATTATTAGTCTTAGGTCGGGTCAGATCCTTCCTGAGTCGGGTCATTCCCCTCTTCTACCGGCTCCTGAACCTGTTGTGCCTGTGCATGTGGATGGTCATCAATCTTTGTTGGGGCGTCATCTACTTATCCCTGGAGGTTGGCTGAGCCTGGCCGGCGCAAGGCACCCGTGGCTGAGCCTGGCCGGTGAAAGGCATCCTTTGTGGAATTTGGGTGGATGGTGCATGTCATGTGCAGTTTCTCTGGCGGTTACAGTTGGAATTCAGCTGGCATTCAATTTGTATTGGCGCCTCCTTTCTGGTGGTGCGGTGGAGGAGTGAACACACGTGTTGATGCCGATGCGACGTGAAACAACTTTCTGCGCAGGTGTCGACTACAGTGGGGAGGGATTCATCCAAGGTATTAGTTTCGTTCCTCGGTCTTCTTCGCAGTGCCAGGAGGGTGTCGGGGCTCATGTTCTTCACTTACGCCGTGCTCTTTCTTCGTCTGAACCGGCAGGGGAATGGGCCTGTCTTTCCGTCGCTTCGCGACTGCTCCGCTCCGCTCCTCCTCTTCCTCCCCCTCCCCCTCCTCCTCCTCCTCCTCCTCCTCCTCCTCCTCCTGCTGCTGCTGCTGCTGCTGCTGCTGCTGCTGCTGCTGCTGCTGCTGCTGCTCCTCTTCCTCCTCCTCCTCCTCCTCCTCCTCCTCCTCCTCCTCCTCCTCCTCCTCCTCCTCCTCCTCCTCCTCCTCCTCCTCCTCCTCTTCCTCGCACTCCGTTGTCATCCTCATCCTGCGTGAGGGTTGTGCCGAACTGGGCATGCGGCGTCGGTGGGGCTCCCTCTGGGGCCAGGCAACGTGTGCGGGGTGTGCCGACTTAGGTGGCGGGGACGCAGGTAAACTCCGCCACTGGGGCCTTCGGTGGAGCTCCCTCTTGGGCCACGAAACGTGCGGGGGGTGTGCCGAATCGGGTGGCGGGGACGCATGCAAACTCGGCCACTGGGGCCTTCGGTGGAGCTCCCTCTGGGGCCAGGCAACGTGTGAGGGGTGTGCCGGCTTGGGTGGCGGGGACGCATGCAACCTCCGGGGCCTTCGGTGGAGCTCCCTCTGGGGCCAGGCAACGTGTGAAAGGTGTGCCGAATCGGGTGGCGGGGACGCATGCAACCTCGGCCGCTGGGGCCTTCGGTGGAGCTCCCTCTTGGGCCACGAAACGTGCGGGGGGGGTGCCGAATCGGGTGGCGGGGACGCATGCGAGCTCGGCCACTGGGGCTTTCGGAGGGGCTCCCTCTGGGGCCAGGCAACGTGTGCGGGGTGTACAGAATTGGGAGGCGGGGACGCATGCAACCTCTGCCACTGGGGCCTTCGGTGGAGCTCCCGCTGGGGCCACGTGTGAGGGGTGTGCCGACGTGGGTGGCGGGGACGCATGCAACCTCTGCCACTGGGGCCTTCGGTGGAGCTCCCTCTGGGGCCACGAAACGTGTGAGGGGTGTACCGAACTGGGTGGCGCGGACGAATGCAACCTCTGCCACTGGGACCTTCGGTGGAGCTCCCTCTTTGGCCACGAAGCGTGTGAGGGGGAGGTGAAAGGCCACGAACTGTGCGAGGGGTATGCCGAAATGTGTGACTATGACGCATGAGACGATGAAGTGATGATGATGATGATGATGATGATGATGATGATGATGATGATGATGGTGATGATGATGATGATGATGCTGATGCTGATGCTGATGCTGATGCTGATGCTGATGCTGATGCTGATGCTGATACTGATGCTGATGCTGATGCTGATGCTGATGCTGTTGGTAATGCTGATGCTGATGCTGATGCTCATGCTGATGCTGATATACTGATGCTGATACTGGTGATGCTGATGCTTGTGATGCTGATGCTGATGCTGGTGATGATGATGATGACGATGGTGATGGTGATGATGATGATGATGGTGGTGATGATGATGATGTTGAAGATGATGGTGATGATGATGACGATGATGATGGTGATGATGGTGATGATGATAATGATGATGCTGCTGCTGCTGATGAGGAGGAGGAGGATTAGGATGAGGATGGAGGGAGGAGGGGGAGGGGGAGGAGGAGAGGAGAGGAGAGGAGAGGAGAGGAGAGGAGAGAGAGGAGATGAGGAGAGGAGAGGAGAGGAGAGGAGAGGAGAGGAGAGGAGAGGAGAGGAGAGGAGAGGAGAGGAGAGGAGAGGAGGAGGAGAGGAGAAGGAGAGGGAGAGGAGAGGAGAGGAGAGGAGAGGAGAGGAGAGGAAGGAGAGGAGAGGAGAGGAGGAGAGGAGAGGAGAGAGAGGAGGAGAGGGAGAGGAGAGGAGAGGAGAGGAGAGGAGAGGAGATGAGGAGAGGAGAACGCGGGGACCGTCTCTTCAAAACGAGGACCCAACACCCCAGGATGGTTGGGAATTGGAACGCCAGGATCTCAGGGCAGGCCATGGGGAGAAATAAAGACACCGACACCGCTGCTCCCCGGGACCTCTCCCGGGCTGCGTTCTGACCCGAACTCCGAGGAGAATCCAGCCGGGGCGACGAGGGCTCTCCGGGAGGATCGGGTCGTGCCAAAGGGGGGGACAGCAAAGGGGGGGGGGGGGGGAGAATCAGCTCACGTAGCTGATTTTCCCGGCGCCTCCCGGCACCGGAGGCGGCTATGTATCGAGGCATGGGCCCCTCGGTGAGGCCGAAACCAGCTGCATGCAGCAAATTTCGTAACCCCCTTTCGTCCGGCCCGAGAGGAGCCGCGGTGCCGCCTCCTCCGCCTGGGCTTCTTAGGCGACACCCCGACCTCTCGAGGCCCACGCTGCTCCAGCGCCACGGGCGGCTCTCCCCGGCCGGAGCCAGCAGGCGGCGCTCGGGCCGCGCCGCCGGGCGCTCGGCGGGCGCCGCGGCCCCCGGCGCGGAGGACGGCCAGCGGGCAGAGGGCGGCGCACTCGGACGACCCAAGGGGGGGCTGCTGAGGCATGCAACCTCGGCCACTGGGACCTTCGGTGGAGCTCCCTCTTTGGCCACGAAACGTGTGAGGGGGAGGTGAAAGGCCACGAACCGTGCGAGGGGTGTGCCGAAAGGGGTGTGCCGAAAGGGGTGTGCCGAAAGGGGTGTGCCGAAAGGGGGCTGCTGAGGCAGAGGCCCCCCCCCCATGCGGGGACCGAGGGACGGCCCTCGCGCTACCGCAAGGAGCGCACAGGGAGGAGCGGGGGCGCCTTCCTCCGGCCGCGGCGGGCCCAGGCCAACAGACAGGCTCCAGGGCACACGAGTCCGAGGAGCGGCCTGGGAACCCGGGGCCCCTCCCGGGCCCAAAGCTATCCTGCTTTCAGCATTTGACAGGCCTAGAGGTTGACACCAACACCAATACTGGCGGTCTGCCTCTAGGGAAGAGGATCCCGATCTCGGTGGTGGTGGTGACATTCTGGCTGCCAAGGTGACCGACATATTACCACCAACACCGAAATGTAGGATCATCTTCCCCCTGTGGAGGCAACCCCTTGTGCTGGTGTCGGTGCCCAATGCCAGGCCTCCAACATCTGGACTGCGGATGGGGGTCGGAGGATCGCGCCGCACCGCCGATGCATCGGCGATGCGGCGCGGTCCTCCGACCCATCTACTTTGACCCCATCTACAAAAGCCTAAACAAGAGGATAGTAAACCATATCTGGTCTGACCTAGCCTGAAGGTGGGTTGCACGTGTCCTAGCTGGCTTACGAGAGGGAAAGATATTGGCTAAGTTGGCGGAGCCCGCTTACCTCAGTCAATCAACCCTTTAGAGCCACTCATGGTGGCTTGCAATTGAGCGACGAAAAATCATAGCGACGTTGGGTGACCTTACGCCGCGGCTTACGCGGGCCGCCAGTGCGGCACGCTACATTGGAAGCGAGGGCGCTTACGCTCGAAGAAGAAAAAAACGCCATAAACATAAACTTTGAGCGCTCCGCGCGGATTTCTTGGATCCACGCTGGCCCCCTCCCTGGAGCGCGGAGCGCGCCAGGGGCGGCGCCGGAGGCACCGCCGTGGGGCCCCAGCGCGGATCCAAGAAATACGCGCGGAGCGCCAAAGTTTGTGTATGGCGTTTTTTCTTCTTCGATACGCGCCATCTTACGCAGGCAGCTTACGCGCGAACGGCCGCGCAGACGGCCCTGCTTTCCCCTGTTGCCCAACTGTTTCAAAACACCTGGCGTTTGCGCCAAGGGCTAGGCCCCGGGACCATCACGGATCGATGTGGCTCGACGCATGCCGCAGGAAGATGTGGTCCGGGGCTCCTGCCGACTTCTGCGTCAACAGTCCTGCAACTTGTTCGTGACGCGGGCTTCAGGGAAGATAAGCGCGTCCGCCAGCGGGGGCGCCCGTACCAGGTGGCACGTCTGAGGTAGGGCGACCGAATCTATACATATCCACTGCTCCCTGGCCAGGCACACCGTGAACCCAGCAGCAGTGTATACGCCACACCCTCCTGGCTGGGCCAGGAGGGCGCATACACAGCTCCTGGGTTCAGAGTGGGCCTGGCCCAGGAGCAGTGGATGTGTATAGATTTCATCGCACGAGTCGGGGCACAAACTCTCCAGGCGCCTCGGATGGGACGGGCGTCCCCGATGGTAAAATGGTCCTGGTGTGCCGCTCTCCCCCTGCTGAGATAGGCCCACACCAGATGCGCCGTATCTCACCCCGTCAGCGCTCTCGGACAGCGGGGCAGGGACGTCGACGACACGGCCTCCCCTCCTGCTGGAGGACGCCAGCTGTACGCCGGCACCGAGCCAGGCCAGGCCCGTCCCGGGCCCAGGCCGGGACGGGCGTGTGCACCGGTGCTGGGCCCAGGGCGGGGATCAGCCAGGATCCGCTCGGCTGCACGCAGGAGCGACCCTGGGCAAGAGGTGCGGGGAGGGGTCCCGCACAAAGGGTCACTCCAGCGAAGGGTCACTCTCACTACGTGTAGCTGGTCGGTTTGGCACGGCCGCAAGGGGTAGGGAAAAGGTGAGCGATGCCCATCAGCACACGCTGTCATAATCCGACAGCGGCCGCTGTTGGGCAGGCGACTTGTTGTATCAAAACAGTGCCCACGACGGCACCGACAGCGAGTCCTGCTCAAAATGGACCGGAAGCGGTCTCAGTCTTCGCGCACGTGCTTTCCATAACCCATTTCGGTCGCACCGATCGGCGGTGCAGGGGTACATTTGACGACTCCCATCCTGGGGTCGCTGCATGACGCGGCCCCGAAGCAGCCTGCGAGAACGGCGCCTGTAAGGCCGCGCGGTGGCATCTCGCGGAAGTGGCCCGGTTGCCGGAACCCCCGCTGGCCAAGGGCCAAGATGGCTTCGCATGACAGCGACGCTGACGTCGGCGTTGGCTTCAAACACAGCGTGGATCGTTCATCCTTGTTGTTCTTGGCTGCCGTTGCCTCCATACCCTCCTCCTCCTCCTCCTCCTCCTCCTCCTCCTTTTCCTCCTCCTCCTCCTCCTCCTATCGTACTCATCGTTTCCGCCTCCTCATCATGTTCGTTGCCACTTTTGTGTCAAAGAGCCATTTGAGAGCAGCAGCGGTGTCAGGCTGCGGCTCGATAGCCCACCAGCGTAACTACGGCAGGTCTGTGTTATGACGGCATGCGCGCTGGCTTTCGACACTGCGTGCTTCGTTCAACCCTGAAAGAGCGGCGCGAATCAACGCTGATCGAAGCTTATCGGCGCTAAATATACACTAATGTTTCGCTAATCGACGCTCAAGCGGCGCTATCTCATCGATTACCCGACGCTAGTCGACGCGAATGCACTCTTAAGACGGAAGTGCGAAGGGGCACAAAGCTCTCATGAGTTGCAACCGAATGAATCGACTCGGGGTCCGCCGTACCGCGACCCGACCACTGCGAGGGCACGCACACTTTCACGGGGCGCCCTGCGAGCATGCGAGATCGAACCTTCACGGTCGCAGCGGGCGGTGCACAACACCTGTGCGAGGCAGCAAGGTCGTTGAAGCTTGAATCGACAAACGGGGGGGGAATCAGATGGAGCTAGGCTGGCTACGATGTTTACAAGACTTTCGCTGGCAACCCGACGACGGGTCCTCTGGGGGCTTCAGAATGGCCCAAGGTGGCACAAGATGGCCCCAGGTAGACCCCAGATAACTCCAGGAGAGCCCAGGATGGCCAAAGTTGGCCCTGGGGTGGCCCATGGAGGCCCCAACGTGGTCACCAGGTGGCCCCGGGAGGCCACAGGAGCCGCCAAGATGGCTCGGCGGAGGGCCCAGGAGAAGCGAAAAGCTTCAGAAACGCGCATGCCTGTAAGCGCGGACCCTAAACAGCGAGCGCTTGTCCTCTGGATGTGTGCGCTACGCACGGTGCCATACACGTGGCGCACTACATGTGGAAGGAGCTCTGTGGCGCGACATGTGTGGCCCACCCTCCCGCCCGCAACTCCATTGACTTTTGGTGTGGGAACGTCACGCTTCCAATCGCAAAACCATCGAAAACAAGTAATCCAGGACACCCTGGAGGCAAGCAGGCAGGGTGTCTCTTGGCATGGGTCTCCACTGTAAGGACAGCGGTCAAGCTGATGGAAGCGGGAGACACCGAGGAGCTCCCTCCGCCTCGACCTCCACGTCATCCTCCCTCTTCGCCCCTCGACCCTCACTCCCCTTTTCCTCCTCCTCCTCCTCCTCCTCCTCCTCCGCCTCCTCCTCCTCCTCCTCCTCCTCCTCCTCCTCCTCCTCCTCCTCTTTCTCCTCCTCCTCCTCCACACATCTCCTCTCCTCTCCTCTCCTGTCCCCTCCTCTCCTCTCCCTTCCCTTCCCTCCTCTCAAAAGGTTGCGGCGTTCTGACTTCGCAGATCGTTCGATTCCAAGGCACTGGCGGCGTTCAATCGAACGCTGGCGCCGGAGTCGCCGCCGCGCCGACACGACACGAACCTGCAATACCTCTCGGGGCGGACAGGGGGAGGGAACACAGCAACGGGGGCCTAGCGAATCGGCTCACGTATCTGGTGTCTCCAGCGCCTCCCAGCGCGAAAGGCGCCAATGTACCGAGGACAACGCCATGCGGCAGGGCCGAAGCCCGCTGCAAACACCAGATTTCGCAACTCCCCCTTCGCAAGCCCTCCTTCCGTCCGACCCAGACCTCCTCTAAGACGAATGCCGAATGAGGACAAATCCAAATGAGAATGAATCGGGACCTCTGAAGCCCGGCGGGCGAGTCTGAAGGATGCAGAGGGCGCCGCGGCCGTTCTGAAGCGCTCCAGAACGCTCCGAGAGCCTTCCAAAACGCCATGGGACGATTTCTGTCCTCATCATAGGCATGCCTCCCAGACCCCCGACGTCGTGACTACTCGTGAACCCCTCCAGGTCTGGACCTCTTCTTGGGGACCCGTGTTCAGTCTTGCCTGGCATAGCCCCCAGAGGCTTAAACTACTATGTATACATATATATATATATTCAGAATTGCTGCTTGTGCTTCTGTTTTGTTACATATAATAGTCACAATGATAATGACTATAACAATGTAATAATAGAATATGCTAAGAAATATTACTAATAATACTAAACAAAGGATACAAATAATATACATAGTAATAATAATAATACTAATAATAATAATAATAATTTAAATAATAATAATAATCATAATCATAATCACTCGACGCAAGGGGGCCTGGGTCGACCCCTCCTCCCACCCCCCTCTTGCGGGCCTCCGCTGTGCCCCTCGTATGTCGACGCCGCCGGGGCGCCGGAGTCGTCGTCATCCTGCGCCGCGCGGGGCGCAGGAGCAAAAGTGGCAACGCCGCCGCCACCAGCGCGGGGAGCTAGGGAGGGTCCTGCTGGTGGTGTGACCCCAGCGCATCTTGCTTACATGGCATGGGCTCGGAAATGTATTTAAGAGTAGCGTTTCTTATTTTCGGTGAGGCATCTCTGATGTGATCGACGAATTCCTCCAGGAAACCGAAAAACGGTAACCCCCCTCCCCGTTCGTTCGGTGGCAACTCATGGGAACCTCCCATACCATCTTGCTGGCTCTCGTGAATCGACGCCAGCCGACGCTCATCGACGCTACACAGCGCCAAGTCGGCGCCAATCAATGCTGAATCGGCGCCCTCGCGTCGATCAGCAGACGCGAGCGCACGCTATTGCACGCTGAAGACGGAACTACGAGGGCACACGAGACTCCCATGACTTGCTACCGAACGCTCGCACCGCTGGTCCCCAATTCGGGAAGGCATCGTGGCCCGCCTCCGACGTTGCGAGTGAGGGCCCCGTGGTGAGTGAGGGCCCCCGTCAGCGGCCAGGGCCTCCGTCAGCTCCAGGCACAGCTGACCCACCGCGAGCGCCTTGTGGAACTCGTGGTTGCCGACAAAGCCGAGCAGGACCTGCTGCGCCTGAAGAACAGCCTCGTACGCCTCCAGGGCACCGTCACTGCTCAGCAGTTTGCTGCTGGCCAGGAGAGCGGCCAGACGGTCGCGAGTCTTGTCAAAGAAGCCAGGGCTGCTCGCGAGCCGCCGCTTGATGGAGACGGCGCAATCCTCGGCCTCGGCCGAGGCCAGGCGTGGGAGGAACATCGACCAGCGGTGGAAGTCCGCATCGATAGACCAATCCTCATTTCCTATCGGGTAAACCTTGCTCACGCTGGCCGACCTACCTCCCTGGTTGGAGGTAGATGCCGCTTCCGTGGGGTTCCGTAGCACCTATCCCCACCGAGAGGCGGTAGGCTGGTGGCGTTCAGGAACCCTGGCCCACCAGGGATGAGGATACAGTCAAACCGCATCACAAGGATTAGACACCTTCCAAGAGTACCCTTGCATGAATGCCCCTCGGCCGATCCTGGCCCTCAACCATGGGCCATGGGATCACACTTCCGGCTTCAATGACAATGTTCAAGGGCCTTGCATCCTTAGCATGCATCCTCACGATCCGGTCACACTGTAGGCCTAACGATACCGAGGAAGTCGAGGAGCCGCTCCTGCGTCATCGCGGGAGGATCCGCGGTATTCCGCAACATCGGACGCCCTGGCTCTCCGCGGGGCTCACCAGCATCTGCGCCCTCCCGCGGGGCACCTCTGGGCTGCTCGGGCTCCCGCGCAGGCCGCATGCGTGCATAGCGCTCGAGCCCGACGACAACGACAAAGACAAAGACAAAGACAAAGGCAAAGGCAAAGACAAAGACAAGACGGCGACGACGACGACGAGGACGACAAGGACGAGGACGAGGACGAGCAGAACGAAGGAGAGGAGCGGCGAACAGGACAGCGAGGAGGGGAGGAGGGAGGACGTGGAAGGAGCACTAGAAGAGGGAAACGGGGGGGAAGGCATGAGGAAACGAGGAAGCGACGGGAAGATAGGAGGAGACGAGGGGAGAGAGAGAGAGAGAGAGAGAAAAGAAAGGAGGAGGAGTTTTTATAAGAGAAAGGAAATGGAGGAGGAAGAAGCGCCAGATGCGCAGGAAAAAGACAGCGGACAACGACGGCTGGGAGAGACCAGACGAGGGCGATGGGAAGACGCCAACTGCCTGGCTCCAACCCTGGCCAGGCAGATCCTACCGCAGGGAGCCGGAGCACGCGCATGGCCGGATCCGCGTGCAAAACATCCCAGAGGCCGTGCGCTGCATACACACGGCAGGAGCCATGCGTGCCCTGGCCATGCGAGGGCCCAGCGCTGGAGAGCCGTCCGGCCACGCATGCACCCATCCCTCGCCCGCGTCGGCCGCGTCACGCGCATCCAGCTGCTCAGTCTGTCGGGCTACACGCAGGACTGGCCCCGAGCAGGAGTGACCTCTGGCGCTCGACTTTCGGACCCCGCGGGGGATGGCCACACCCGAGCGCGCAAAGCGCTGCTATCGCATGGCGCTCAGCCATGCGGGGACCCCAGTGAAGCCGCACGGAATGGGACGCACAGGGACATGCTAATGCTTTATGTCCTCCTTGGAGGCGCGCGTCCGAACCGAACATGTAGTAGACCCATCTTGTCATAGATCGTTTCCCGAGCAGTGTGGCGAGGAAGCGCCCGCCACGACCTATCTGCTATAAGATGTCTCGGTGCGCGCGTCGCCCCTGGGGGGGGGGCGACACACATGTAGCACTAAGTACAGTGGTGTGACGCCGACGAAAGGCCACTCCAGCAAAAGGTCATCCTTACGCGTAGCCGGAGTAGGCCCGGCATCGGCGGGCACGCCCTCCCGGCCCAGCCAGGAGTGTGCACCCCCGGCCCAGCCAGGAGGGTGCACCGACGATGGCTGGCGGCGCAGACAAGGAAGCAGGGGGAGGGGGGAAGGCTTCTTAGAAGGAGGCTATTTCGTAGAAGGTGCCGGCCCTATATCTATAGATAAGGCCCGCGACTTCTAAGAAGCAGGGTGCTTCTAAGAAGCCTTCCCCCCTCCCCCTACACCCCTCTGCGCGTGGCTGAGATGAGGCCAAGAGTGGCTCGACCACGATCGGTACAGGGCGGCTGGCGTCAATAGAGGAGCAGGCCAGAGGGCAGGGCGAGGTCGGGTCCGAGTTCATGGTCTGCAGCAGCCCGCTGAGCTTGCTGGCGTCCTCCCACACGCCCACGAAGCAGGGACAATCGGTTCATCGTCGCCGTCCTCGTCCTGATCGTCATCGTAATCCTGCTGTGTCTCCTCCTTGTCCTTCCTCCCCTAACCACTCTGCGCGGGCATGAAGCTACTGTACCGTGTAGTACCTCTGGACTTGGGAGAACAAGACTAAAGTAGCTGCCGCCGTACCGTGCCGTCCTCCTTGTCCCCCTCCTCCGCCTCCTCCACCTCCTCATTCTCCTCCTCCGAATCAATTGGCTAGAATTGCGCCACATCGGGGTAGGCTAGGCGGGCCCTCGTCCTCCTCTTCCTCCGCCTCCCCCTCCTCGTCGTACGAATGAAACCGTCCGAAAACCTTACCCAGATTCCCGACGACATGAGTTTCCATGACGTGGACACTCATGAGTTTCCACCTCGTATCCAGATTACCGACGTTTCATCCTGGGTCGCTTCCTGACGGTCCCGAGACTCACTGAAGGTTTCCCAGAGGCCCAGAATAACAGCACGACGCTGAAAGAAAGACCACTTCGGCCTCAGGAGGGGCTCTGGTGTTCAGGTCGTTCCGTAGATCTGGGCGTGGAAACCGATTAGTGGCCGAAGCTCGCCGTGGCCAGAAAAATCATGCCGTTCCTTATGTGGCGTTCGTTATGGCATCACGATGGGTGTGGCGAAAAACCTTCCGTCGTATTTTATGCCACAGCGCGAGGAGGCCTGGGCACCTCGAATGCTTTGGACCTCGAGCCCTCCCCCCCCTCCGTGGAACTCAGCAACGACGCGCGCACCATCACGGAAAGGGCCTGCGTCACGCTCGCCGTGTTCTTGAGCTGCACCAACGCGGCGCCGCCAGCCTCGGCGCTGCAGAGGCGGATCCTCCTCCTCCTCCTCCTCCTGTTCCTCCTGTTCCTCCTGTTCCTCCTCCTCCTCCTGCTCCTCCTCCTCCCCCTCCTCATTCTATTCCTCCTGGTCATCAGCAGTATCAGCATTATCATCGTCATCGTCGTCATCGCGGTCGTCATCGTCTACATTATGTTAAAGAACCCCCCCACACGACTACCATTCTAGCCGCATGCACCGCCCCCCCATGCCGAACCCACCATCCTTCTTTTTTTCTTTTTTTTTTATTTTAAAAAAAAAAAAAAAAAAAAAAAAAAAAAAAAAAAAAAAAAAAAAAAAAAAAAAAAAAAAAAAAAAAAAAAAGGATCCGCGCTCCCGAGGCCAAGGTCCTCCGTAAAAAACAAAAAAAAAAAAACAATGGACCGCGCCGCGAGCTTCCAAAACGGCCCAAGATGGCCCAAGATGCATGAAACAGCCCAAGCTGGCCCCAACGCAGCCCGATATGGCCTCAAACGGCCCAGTGGACCCGAAAAAAACACTAGAGGACACCCAACAGGGCCCGAAAAAGCACAACCATTGATTTCCCTATGCTTTTCCGTACAGCATAACTGGTGATGCGTTTTCTCTGGACACCCCCCGCGGGAGAGAACCCCAAACACCCACCCCGCCGAATCATGTCCTGCGACACTCAGTATCACCATCACACCAACATCATCATCATCCCCATCACGATCAACATCCACGCATGGTTCACCGTCACCACCATCATTACTGTCATCATCAGTACCATCATCGTCATCATCATCACCATCAGCATCATCATTTTCACCATCACCAGCATCATTAACATCAGCATCAGCATCACGGAAGCCGCCACCAACAACACCACCACCACCATCATCATAATCATCATCACCATCACCATCATCAACATCCTAAAAATGATCATCACCATCGTTGATGCACCCACACACACAAACATTCACACACATGCAGCATGCACACAATCACTCATACACTCACACATCCCTAGCCAAAGACGTCCCGAACGGGAACCCCTCCATGTATGGCCACGACTTCGCGATTTTCAATCCGAGCGGGTCATCGGAATACGTTTTACTGTCGTAACCTCTGGGATCCTGACGCCTTAACTTGAACAACAATCTCGAAATAAAAACGCGTATGTGAATCATCTGCGAAGAAATCTCGAGCGAGAGCCCCTCCCTATTAAGCCCCCACCTCCCGCATTCATTCCGGGCAACTCACGAGCGCATTTCCTGTCGTCACTTGCGGGCTCGGCAAGCCTGAGTGCAAAAGAAAATTCGAGCGGGAGTCGCGTCTGTGGGTGAAATACGCGGAAGTCTCGAGCGGGCCCCCTTGCCTGCAGGGTTCCCGCTTCACGTTTCGACACCAACGGGTCGCAAGATTTGTTTCGACCGTCGCCTTTCTCGGATTCCCGAAGCCGGAACACGGAAGAAGTCTCCTACAAGAGTCTCGTCTCTGACTCAACGGCGGAAACTCTCGAGCGGGAGCCCCTCCTTATGGGGCATCGGCGAGCGGCAACGAAGCGCGCGGGCGGTTTTGCTCCGCGCGCCAAAAAAACGAAGAGGAGAGGGAAGAGGAGGGTTCATGACGAAAAAGAGGAAGCAAGGAGGAAGGCGAAGAGGAGGCGGGATCAGGGATGGGGGTAAGCATGAACAGGCACGACGATGACACCGTAGATGATGATGACGACAACGGCGACGACGACGACGACGAAAACGAAGACGACGACGATGACGATGGCAATGATGAGGATGATGATGGCGATGGCGATGGCGATGGTGACGATGACAACGACGGCGAGGACAAGGAGAGGAGGAAGAGGCTGAACACCGAATGGAAATAAAGCAGGAGGATGACGACAAAGGAAGCAGGTGGACGCGGGAGGCAAGAGAATGATAGGGAGCAGGATCAGCAAGAAACGAAATAGTAAGAACATGAAAACGAAAGAAACTGGGGAAACATGAGTTGTGGGATTGGTTATGATGGATAGACGACACGGCGACAATAGTGGGGAGAGGTGTCTTTTCCATAGGCTTCATGTCGGGTGACGCGCACGCGACTCTGTAGCCTCAGCCCGAACAGTGGTGCAATGAACCCTGGCAAATCACGATGGCCGACGCATCCGTGTAATGCGCTGCCTGCGGCCAGGGTCGTTCGATCGTACTGGCACCCCACATATCGAATACACGGTCCACATGTTACTGGCAACGGTAAATATATGTCAGTCTAGATACATATGGTAAACACCACTAGAAGTCTACAGTTCTCAATATGAGCACGCTGATCAAGTACCCGTCCATCATCTTCACTCTGGAACACTTTCAATGTGTGCTTATCCCGATGTCACCATACGTGTTACGGGGCAATTGCGGGACAACCATTGGGACAGCCGTCAGGACAACCGCCAAAACAACCATCGTGACAAGCCTTGTCGCACCCCTTGAGGCTGATGAACCCAGCGCAAACATGAAAGCTACGAAAACATTGGGCAGCAGTCATTATACCCCCTTGGCACCAACGAAACCTAATACGTGAGCAATGCTGAGCCTACGCGTATAATATGCAAAATAAGCGATTCACCAAGAAAGGACGTGCAAGGATACTGACAGGGTGACAAAGTGAAGATAAGGGATCCGGATGAGACCACCGAAGGAAAAACAACTAGGGCATCTCAGAAGAACAGAGGAGGATCAAAGTAGAGCTGAGAATGAGAGCTTAGCCCTGGTGAGCATCCCTCCCCGGTAGAGCACCCCAGTGGGCCTCCCGCTGGCGGGCGCCATCGAAATCTGGGCACGCCCTTCTTCCAGGGCAAGGCCCCCGCGAGCGCCGTGGGCGGGCACCACAAGGAACCCCGGCGTTGGTGACATCAGAAGGTACTGATACTGCTGTTCCACGGAACTGTCCCAGTGCGCGTTCTACTAGAATTTCGCGATTTCAACGGTGGCGACGAGGGCTTCCAGGGATGCCCAAAACGGCGAAAACGAGGGAAGGGTTAGTGGTATGCGTACTTCTGCCTCCTCTGAGATACACCCCCTAGCACGGGGCGCCCACGAGGCGCCCACGAGGCGCCCACGGGCGGGCACCGGGCATCACGCGCGCCGTGTCCTTGAGCTGCACCAGCGCGGCGCCGCCAGCCTCGGCGCTGCAGAGGCGGATCCTCCTCCTCCTTCTCCTCCTCCTCCTCCTCCTCCTCATCCGCATCCGCATCCGCATCCGCATCCGCATCCTCCCCCGCATCCGCATCCTCCTCTTCTTTCTCCTCCTCCTCCTCCTCCTCCTCCTCCACCTCCTCCTCCTCCTCCTCCTCCTCCTGCTTCTCATCCTCATCCTCATCCCCATCCTCATCCTTCTCCCCCTGATCATCAGCAGAAAAAAAAACAAAAAAAAAACAAACAAAAAAAATAAAAAAAAGTCCACACAAATCGCAAAAAACAAAAAAACAAAACAATAAAAACAAAACAAAAAAAAAAAAAACAAAAAAAAACGAACAAAGAAAAATAGAGAAACAACACAAAAAAACAAAAAAAAACAAGAAAAAAAAACATACACAAAAAATCAACAAAAAGAAGAGCAAAGCCTAAAACAAAAAACAAATGGAATACGTATCGGAATGCAGCTCTAAGTGCAAAATGAAGACAGATCGAAATCCACATCAATCAAAGTCGTCATCGCGGTCGTCATCGTCTACATTCTGATGAGGGACACCCCCCCCGCCGACCATTCTAGCCGCATGCACCGCCCCCCTCCCGAAGCCACGATCCTTGTTTTAGAAACATACTTGATCCGCGCTTCCGAAGCCACGATTTCCCGTCAAAAACAATGGATCCGCGCCGCGAGCTTCCAAAACGGCCCATGCAAGCAACCAAAGACACCAAAATGGCCCAAGATGCGTGGAAGACGGTCCACAATGGCCCCAATGCAGCCCGAGATAGCCTCAAAACGACCCAAAGGGCACGAAAGGGCCACAAGAGGACACCCAACAGGGCCCGGAAAAAACACAACCATTGATGTCCTTGCGTTGTTCCCCACAGCAGCAGTGGTGTTTTGTTTTCTCCGGACACTCCGCGCGGGAGGGAACCCCATCCCCCCCCCGCCTCATCACGTCCTGCGACACTCACTATCACCATCACACCAGCATCATCACCAACTATCACTACACTTACCGTCATCATTAACACCATCATCATGGTCATCATCAACATCAGCATCATCATCACCGTCACCATCGCCAGCATCATCCGGTTCAGCACCAGCATGAAGGCACCCACCACCAGCAGCATCACCATCATCATCATCATCATCATCATCATCATCATCATCATCATCATCATCATCATCATCATCATCATCCTCATCATCATCATCACCATCACCATCATCATCATCATCACCATCATCAACGTCCGAAACATGATTACCACCATTGTCGGTTCACACACGTACACATTCACATTCACACACACACACACACACACACACACACGCACACACACACACACACGCACACGCACACACGCACACACACACACACACACACGAAATCACTCATACACGCACACTTTCCGAGCAAAGGGCGCCCCGAGCGGGAACCCTTCCCTATATGACCACGACCTCGCGATTTTCAGTTCGAGAGGGTCATCGGAATACGTTTCACTGTCGTAACCTTTGGGTTCCTGAGGCCCTAACTTGGAACAGATTTCGAGGATAAAACCTGGTCTGCGAATCAACGGCGAGGAAGTTTCGAGCGAAATCCCTTCCCTATTGAGACCCCACCTCACGCTTTGATCCCGGGAATGTCATGGGAGTACTTACTGTCGTCACTTGCGGGCTCCGTAAGCCTGGACGCACAAGAAAATTCGAGCGGGAGTCACGTCTGTGAGTGAACGGCGCGGAAATTTCGAGCGGGCCTCCATTCATGTGGGGTTCCCGGTTCACGCTTTGACACGAACGGGTCACTGGATTATTTTCG